CTCCACGCGTGCAGGGTGAGGGGCGGGGCTCCGCGGGGTGAGGGGTGTGCTGCAGCCTTTGAGCCTCTTGGTTCTGCCGCCAGAGCAGCAGCTGCTGGGCGCCGGCCCCACCGAGCCCTGGTCCGTGCGGGAGAAGCTCTGCCTCGCCTCCTCCGTCATGCGCAGCGGGGACCAGAACTGGTGAGTGAGGCCCCTAACGGTAGCGCGCCGGCTGCGAGCCCTTGTCCCCTGGCAAGGCAGCCGCTGTGCGCAGGGGGCAGGGTGCCCTGCGCTTTGCATTGCTAACAGGCCGGGGAGCGCACGCTGTGCACTGGGTCTGTCCAAACCAGTAACGCTGCTGCAGCACTTACCCCCGGAAGCAACTGGGAAAGTTCTGCACATTACCTGTGTGATCGGTCCGTCACTGCGCAAGCATCCTCCCCCCTGTGGGTTGGTGTGGAGAGGAAGGCAGGTTTCTGGTCATTTACCTGCTCTTTCTTGCAGGGTATCTGTCAGCAGAGCTATCAAGCCCTTTGCTGAACCTGGCCGCCCACCTGACTGGTTTTCTCAGAAGGTAAGATGCTTTGGAAGAGGAATCCAGCTCTTGCCAAGACTGCCGTCTGGGGGTATGGCTGCTGAAAGATCAGTAACTTGAGATATCAGGGGAGGAAGCTGTTCATCTGAGGGAGACATGGAGTCACTTTTTTAATATTGCCATTCTCCTAGTACCAGTTATCCCTATGCAGAACTGGTCTTGGCATAGTTCTCGCCAACCCATTACTCTGAGAATATCCTGCAGTTTCTGCTTGTAACTGTAATATTTACCTTTTTTGGATGAATATGTTATTAAGCGAGGCTTTTCTTTTCTTTGACAGGTCAGAGTGGAGGGTAGAGTAAGCCCTGGTACATTAAGCTCACTTGCAGTCATAGATTTGACTTCAGTGAGTGCAATTGTGTCCCCATCCATATCTCAGAACACACCCTGTGGGCATTAGATCTTTGAAGAGGAGATCCCAGTCCTACATGAGCTTTCTCTGATACCATTGTCTGTGATTACTGTTCTCTGTGTGCTCTAACTCCCTCTGCATTTTTTTAGCACTGTGCATCTCAATATTCGGAGCTTCTGGAGACCACAGAGACCCCCAAGTGAGTGCAAAGAATGAGGCATGTGATCTCTGAAGCAGCTGTTGGAGGGCTCAGCAGTTTATCTGGTTGTGCATTTGCCAATACTGTCAAAGACAGGCACGTGGAAATCTGAGTGTGGTATCTGAATAAGAAGGGTGACTGTTTCCAAGGGAAGAGCAGCTGAGGAATACACACTTGGAATGCTCTTTCTGTTCACCCATTCTCCTACTTTAGAGGTCTAAATGCTTTCAATTCTAAAAATTTCTGTAGCTGATATTTGTAATGTTCAGGGCTCGACAAACTATGTAATCTACTCGCCCATGGCGAATAGATTACAACCCGGAAGAGCTGGGTCCGGGCGATCTGCGCATGCGCAGCTCGCCAGACAGCATGGCAGGCGAGCGGGGCTTGCCGCGGCTCTGCGAGCCCTGGTAATGTTTATTCCTGAAATGGTGTCATTCATTCATATACCTCACTCCCTGCAGCCTTTAAGGTGTAGGAGTTCT